TAATGAAATGGCCCTTGAGCTTTTAAAACAAAAAGTTGTTGTTGTTAGTTGCTGTCTTAAAGTATTAGTATTTTGTTTGAGTTGTGTCCAGATATTAAGATCTGGCTCTTTTCTAGGATGGACAGCGCATATTTGGAACAACAAAGTGTACCTTCTGTTAATTATCGTCTCACTTTTAAAAAGTCATTTTCCTCTTTTGTTTCCTGTGGAAAGGGGTAACTTGTTCTCAAAATACTTCTGTTACTGTTTCCCCATCACCCATGGTTACAGCAAATATCTACTCTTTTACTTCCTTTATTAAATGCTGCTTTAATGCACTTGTGTACTGCATATGCCGTTCAGTTTACTGACTTCTTTTCCCCAGAGTTTCCAACACCTCGTCTTACTAGAGAATAGGAACAGTCACTGAAGATGGGCCATAGGAACTCTCATGAACTGTTTCTGTTCCACCAAAGGAAAGAATCTTTGCTTCAGTGATCACGTTGTTCCTTAAACACACACGTTACAGTTTGCTAGTATAAAAAGCTATGTATGCCCTTAGTAAAAACAAGTTTAAAGAAGTTAAATGATGTACAGTCTTACTTGCAGTATATTTACTTAGTTACATGAAAATTCTTTAAGGATAGAGATACTTTAAAAATATCAAACTAGTACAGTTTATTTAATATCTAGAGAACCTTTTCCAATTTTCTTCTACAGAAACAAGACATACAAACATTTTACACACATAATCTTTTGAGTAGCTCCTACTTAGTACCACCAAATAGATTTCTCTAGGCCTGGAATCCTATCTAATTCCTTCTAACCCTCCTCTCCAAGAGTCAGCAGCCCTGACCACAAACCCGTCCTAGGGAACTAAGAATTTAAGTTGTTAAGGCTGCAACAGGGTATTTTTAAATTCATATTTTTTGGTCTCTAAGTCACAGTCAATCACCACAAGCCAGTGATGAGATTAAAAGAGATATAATTTGAACATATTTATACTGAAATTCTTAAAGCGAAAGGTGAAATTGCCGCTTACTGTTTGCTTTGCCTAGGTAAATGAATTGTTAATACAGTGGTCTGAGACAAGCATGTAGGCAGAAAGGTACAGGAGATTTTCTAAAACTTGAATTCTTTAAGAAAGTATAATTCTTCCTCACATTGGGTATGATAACAATAAGTGTTTCCAAATAGGCTTTCTCACCACTCTTTCATGCCGCAAGCCTTCCTAGTAATTTCAAGAGAATACTTGTGTTTTTAGCTTGTGTTTTTCCTGCTTTGTAAAGTGTGAAGTGTCATTTTATTTATCCAGTTTTATTATAATTAAATTATCATGTGGTAGCTAATTAATGGAAAAGTTTGGTCTCCTGAGATCTAATGTTTATCAATTACTGAAAGCTGTAAATAATTCTTCCTTATCTTTTTTCTACTTTGTCTTCTTAATGTAGAGCATACTGCCTCTGGGATCAATTTATCACTAATTCCCAAGTACATATTGTTAAAACCATGGCCACCATCTGCTGGTGAATTTATAGAAATATACTCACCGCACAATAGGTTATAGACTTCAATATTTTCAAATGCTTCAACTTCAGTCTTCTCTTTAAAACCGGGTCCATGAGCCAGAAAGATAGCCTAGGTGGTAATATACACACTATTACTACATGCCAACCAAACACAAAAACAGACATCGCAAGAGACAGTTTTCCTTCCATAACAGTTCTATTTGTATTTTAGGCCTGTGTTAAGGATTTCTTTTCAGAATTTGAAAATTATTTTTAAATCATCTCCTTCTGTGATATTGTACCAGTCCCAACCAAATATAGCCCATATTGTGTTGTGTTTACTTCCATCTCTACCTGCTTTCGCATCACTTCATATGTCAACAGAATAGGAGAATAGAAGCAACTTTGGACAACCAATAGCAGTACAATTTCACAATGTTTGGACAATATATATATTAGAAATTCAACGCATGACATCATATATTCTTTTCATATTCCTTTCATATAATTGCTCAAATATGTTAATATATGACAAAAATATTAAAGTTTCTAAGCATTATATTTTGCACCATTTCCTAAGCTACTTATTTCTTAAAATGCATCTCCCCTTTACTTTTAGGATAAGGAGACCTAAATATTTTGCTGTCTATTTCATTAACGTTAACTTAGTTACATTATTTATAACAAATCTGTTTTACCTTGTAAATAACTAGAAGAAAAGCGTCAAACCTAGACAAGCAATTCTTTTCTGGTAACAGTGGTATGTGTGTGTGTGTGTGTGTGTGTGTGTGTGTGTGTATATATATATATATATGTTTTTCCAAGATAATCAGAAAAAGAATTTGAGGCATAGGTTTTTCTTACAGTAATTAACTCAATTATCATACAGTGCCCTACTTAATAGAAAATCTCTGTATCTAGGGATTTAGATAAGACAGTCAGGTTGCAAAAATCATAAAGCTTAACCTATGAAGGACCTACCAGCTGCATTTTACAGTGAACTCCTCATACACTTTCTTCCCAGGACACCACACAGCCCTAGTTTTCTTCCTCCCTTACCAGTGACTACTTCTAAGTATTTTTGCTAATAAATCATTTTCTCCCCCAAACTCTTAAAGGAGAATTGCCTCAGTGCTCAGTACCTCGTCCTCTTCTCTGTCTACACTCAATCCCTAGGGATCTTACGTAGTTGCATTTCTTTTAAATCGTTTATATGCCTAAAACTCAGTTTTTGTTTTCTTTCTGCTTTTTTTTTATCTTCGGGACAGACTCTCTCTGTAATTGCCAATTCAGCACCTCTAATTGCAGGTCTAACAGATATTTGAAACTTAACATGTCCAACTGAACACAGACTCTTTCCCCCTGAATCAGCTGTACCCCCAGTCTAACTTCCTTCCAGTTAGGCCCATTCCCATCTCAGGCCTTTTGCCCTGGCTGTTTCTTCTGCCTGAGACATTTGCTCCTGGGATATTACAAAGGTTAATTCCTTCACCTCCTTGAAGTTTCTGCTCAAATGTCATCTTCTCAATGAAGCCTACCCTTTTTAAAATTGCATCCTGTCCCCGTGCTATCCTGAAACACTCCCAATTCTCCCTTACTCTGCTCTACTTTTTTCTTTATTTTCCCCATTGCACTTATCACTTAACGCACTATATTACATATTTGCTTATTATGCTTATTACCTATATTCTTCTGCTAGAATGAAAACTTCATAGGGCAGGAATCTTTGTTTTCTTCACAGATATGAAGAGATTCAAGAGTCTTGAACAATATCACAAAGTAGGTGCTCAATAAATATTGGTTTAAAAAAATGTAGTAACTCACCCCCATGCTCTTCAATCCACCATCATAACCATGATGGCCTCCTCCACAAAATTTATATGCTTTACTCCTATAAAGAAATAACGTTATTACACTCTGATCAACATACTGTGTAGACCTTTGTCTAAACTCAGCTTTAATGGACTTTATGTAGCTTCTGCTTTTATATATTTCTTTTTCCGTCAAAAGCAGCATTAATATATTTATTTCAATGCTAAAATATATAATCATAAAGGAACAAACAGAATGGTGAAGGAAGGAGTATTTTAAGGTCTAGAAATATAATTCAAAAATCTTTTTACTTTTAGATATTGAGAAAAGAACAATTACAAAGACATAGACAAAAAAAATCTTTTTCTTCAAGCCCACTTGTACCTTTATACATCAAAGACTGAATGATTAAGAATAGTTTGATTAATGTTACATTACACATTTCACTGCTTTATAAATAAATCTTTGAGACTAGGAAAGATATTAATTTTTATTTTACAGTGGAGATATCTAAGAAAATAATATAAAAGTACGATTAAAGAATACTCAAGACAAGTTAATTAAAGTACTCAGTAAGGAAAAGTCAGTATATTCTGTAAACTCAGAGTTTATTTTTAATTTTTGGGATTTTCTTTCATAAGCTCTCTGCCTTGTACATAACTTGTCTATTGCTAATTAATGGATTTTCCTTTTGCATATTTCATTGGATTTTAATCACTGAATTGAGTAACGTTAGCAATTTTATACATAGCTAGTTTTTATACTTGAAAAAAATAATGATAAACCTAGATGTTTAAAAGCAACTGAATGTTATAATTTTGTCTCTGAAGGGAACAAAAGACTCCTATTTCTAAAGGCTGTCCTTAAAAAAGGTTTTTCTCATTTGCTTTCTCTCTCTGGGCAAGTACACACACACATACATACACACAATATATTTTTCTAATATATACATTTTTATGTTGTTTGCTCAACTGAAAGCAGGACGTTGATTCAGTGTCTAAAAAAATTACCTTTAAAAAATGTTTAACTGACTCTTACTCAGCTTAAATAGAATAAAAAAGAAATCACAACTCTAAGTAGGCCATACACAGATCTACCCAAAACAGGGAAGAAAAGAGAGGCTAAAAAAGTATCTGGAATGGTAAAGACAAGAAGAGTCCTACTTTACTAAGGGCTGTAAATCTGGGTACCCTAAGGGGGCCAGTTCATGTCCTTATCTTAGATTATTCCAATAAAGTTGTTGACACCAGCCAACACTTACGTTTAAAAATTTTTATTTTTATTGTGTAGATTACTGGGGAGTCCCTGAGTGGTGCAAACAGTTAACACACTTGGCTGCTAACCAAAAAGTTAGAGGTTCAAACCCACCCAGAGGCACCTTGGAAGAAAGGCCTGGCATTCTACTTCCAAAACATCAGGCACTGAAAATGCTATGGAGCACAGTTCTACTTTGACACACATGGGGTCGCCATGAGTTGGAATCTTCTCTATGGCAACTGGTACTGGTAAGTTTACTGGAACTATTTGATTAAGGAGAATTAAGTTTTAATTTCTATGTGGGAAACTAGAGCATTCACAGATGAAAGAAAGAAAAACGTCTTTTGGACCAAATCATTGGTAAAATTTTCTAAAAGTGAGACCTTTATTCTTCTATTTTCAGAAAAATCTATTGTTTTATATTTCCAATTCCTAACCCAGCTAAATTAAAAACTATGATAAATAGTGCATTTTCAACAATTCAAAGGACAAAAGAACTGTAATGAACATCACAAAACTTCATTTAGAAGCAAAAGATAAAAGTATTCTTTAAAAAGTTTCTATTTTTCTTTGCTGCCCAAGTGGATACTTTAGAAATTTTCTCCTCTAATTGCATATGTTTATGCTTCCCAACCATTAACTGGGCTCTGGAAATTACATATGGAAAAATGGAAACTGGCATTTGGAAAGGAGGAGTTGATCATATCTGTCAGAGTTTAGCTCGACTTCTAATTACTATATGAAATTGTTTGGAACAGATTATTATCTTTTCTACATTTAATTAATAAAGCTGAAATTAAGGCTGGGGTTCTCTCCCACAGTTGGGTAATAACGTGGACAGGAGATGAGCAAGACTTCTGCTGATACCAGTCAGTTGCCAAGTCCTATCAATTCTTCTCTGTACTAGCTTTCCCATTTGTCCCTTCCTTTCCTCTTCTGCTACCACCATTCTAAACCAGATCCTCATTACCTCCCACCTAAACAAGTTTTCTAACTGGTCATTCTGTCTTCAGAATCTTCCCTCACAACACACACACACACACACACACACACACACACCCCTAATCCTATAGAACACTACTCATCAGTGATGAAAATGGAAACACACGTCCAAATGAGCACATGGAATGGAACATTAGAAACCAGAACTATTCTGGAAAAGCTGGGTCACAAATTAACCATACATACTTTGCTAATGATATGCCACATACCTAGTCTAGTCTCACCATCCTCACAGCTCCACAGCTTCCACTGCAGCTGTCCTATTGCTGAGGACTGGATCACTACACATTTTTCTAATTGGCCTACCTTATTCTGGCCATCTTCCTCCACACAGGAGCTAGAGGGAACTCTCTGAAATGCAAATCTTGCTCCATTCATCTCCAGCCACTTCATATTTACCATTTACCAATGGTCTCTGACTTGCTTCAGGATAAAAGCACACTCCTTACTGATAACAGATAAGGTCATTCATGCAGAGGGCAGCTTCATTCACCTGGTACAGTTGAACTACTTGTAATTGCTAGAATCTAGTTCTGGAAATGGGCTTCTTCCCTCTACCCTTCCCATGTGTACCCATGGCTGCTGTGGTTTCAAAAGTCCACACACACACCCATCCCATCCCCCACCCCAGCAGAACTGTTAGAGAAAGAAGAGCCTCTGGAAGAACACAGCCTGGCAGTGTTCAAGGCTTGGCAAGCATATGATTGCCTTCCAGCAGAGAAAAGGGATCCCACTCCTCCAGCAAACACAGGCCCTGTCAGGGCTTGGTGAGCTGAACAAGGGCTAGATTTCAGCTCCCACTCACCTTCTTGGCTGGGTACCTGTGTACAGTGCACGAACTGCACAACCACATGGGGTGGACCTGCTGTAGAGCAGCAGTTAGCCTTATCCATCTTGAATCTTCAAATCCCGAATCAGGAATCATCCCTACCAGGGAGCGTTCTCTGACATTCAATGACATTTACACCTGGTGAGTGTAATCATCCTTCTTGCTTCCTTGAACCTTGTACTTGGTTCTAGGGACACAATTATCACACCTGTTGTCTTCTTTCCTACCTGGGTGAAGGGCCTTAGGGCAGAGACTGTTACTTCTAATTCTTAGTGAGGTGACTGGGTGTCTATCTGCATTGCACATGCAGACAGACTGTGCCTCAGAATTCTAAGCAGGAATAAGACCACTAGGAATGAAGACGTCAGTCACTCCGTCGGTGCTATGTTCATTCAATGTGATCAAGCCGTACACATGAAACACACAGTGTTGGCAAAGTGAAAGCCATAATTATTATTTACACAACCATATGGTAAACAATAGAAACAAATTACTTATGGTGAACTGGTCCTGCCCCCACCCACCCACCCACACAGCTCACTTTGTAGAGAGGAACCTGCTTATGTCTCAAAAGGAGAACCCCAGCTACCTCTTCCCCCAAATTACCCATGTCCATACTTATGTCCATACAACCAGAATGCTTTTTGGAAGCAGAGATGGCGAGACTACGTCTCACATACTTTGGACATGTTATCAGGAGGGATCAGTCCCTGGAGAAGGACATCATGCTTGGTAGAGAGTCAGCAAAAAAGAGGAAGACCCTGAAAGAGATGGACTGACATAGTGGCTGCAATAATGGGCTCAGGTCTTACAACGATTGTGAGGATGGCACAGGGCCACGCAGTGTTTTGTTCTATTGTACATAGGGTCACTATGGGTCAGAACTGACTCGATGGCACCTAACAGCAACAATGACAATACTTATGTCACTCAGCCGGCTTACAGTGGTTGAGGTCAGATGCTGTGTTCACAGCACTGGTGCCACTGTCTCCAGCTCCCGCCACACTGCCTGGGGTATTTGTGCCTCTGCCTGCACTACTGGGGGGGCATGCACGGCTTCCTCTGCAGTGATGCCCCTCCACAGCATCTATCCCACCATGATGCCCAGGGAGCCTTGACAGCTCCTGCAGCCCCGGAGATGCCCAGCTTCTGTCTGTGGCCGACCAGTCCACTGTCTCTCCGTTTTCAGTGTTACAGCCCTTGACCCCTATTACAGCTCTTTTACTCCGGTGTAGAGGCTCTCAGTGCAGGTATCCCAGGTCCAAAAGGACCCTGAGCCCAAAGGTCTCGCTCCATTCTAGGCTCTTGATGATCATGAGGTTGCCCAAAAACCTCTTAAGACTGGCCTCTAATATAGGAAAACTTCCTGTCAATCTCAGTGCTGGTCTTCCCAGCAGGACTGAAAACCCATCAATCCCCTAGGTGGGGCGAAATCCAGTCTATCCTATTGGGTGGATTACAAGCCGTTTCTATGCCTAGTAAATAGACCAATCACAGGCAAGACTGCAACCTAACCAATCATTTTGGGAGGATTACAAACCCCGGGCCAGAAAAGCCATATAAGAGAAACCCATTGCACCACACTGGGACTTTTTTTATTTTTTTTTAATTCTACTTTAGATGAAGGTTTACAGTACAAATAGTTTCTCACCAGTCAGTACACATATTCTTTAATGACAATGGTTAACAACGCCATGACATGTCAACACTGTCCCCTCTCAACCTTGGGCTCCCCATTACCAGCTTTCCTGTCCCCTCCTACCCCGTAGTCCCCGTCCCTGACACTGGGACTTATTTGTCAGTTGCTATTCTAAAACGAAAATCTATTATGTTCTCTAAAAGAGCACTTTAACAATACTTCAACTATAATTTCAAATAATTGTTGTTAGGTGTCGTTCAGACAATTTTTGACTCACAGTGACCTCATGTGACAGAGTAGAAGTGCCCCATAGGGTTTTCTAGGCTATGATCCTCACGGGAACAGACTGCCAGGTCTTTCTCCCTCGGAACCACTAGGTAGGTTCAAAAGGCCAATCTTTTCGTTTAGCAGCTGAGCACTTAACCTTTGTGCTACCAGGGTTCCTCTTCCCTCAAATTTGTAAAATCTAACATATTTTAGGCAAAATAAGGGTGATGATATGAAAATATATTACACTAAATGATGAAATTAGCTATAATTTTGAAAAAGTGATCTAGTCTAGTTATCTAGTTATGCACTGTAACTTAGAAAATAGGTAGACAGAATTTTAAAGTTAGGTCAGATTCCTGAGTTGCTCTGGTTACATCTGTATTCAAAATTTCCTTTGATGAAAATGAGTTTACCTTGTATGCTACTGGCAAGAGAATAACAAAACCAGGCTAATCCTTTGTTATAGCACTTCCCATAACTAGCTAGCTGGGGAGCCAAGCCTTGAACTCTACTTCAGCTCACTGCTAGTTGTTCAAAAACATAAAAAGTTCCTAATTCAAGCCACTCTGGCAACTAAGCTCCCATTCTGTGACCCACAGGTCATGCTGTCAGATGGACAGGTACTTTCTCGGTTTGTACCAGTGGCCTTCTTTGATCTCATACTCCTAACAGTAAATATTTGGAAAACATATTCCCGTTTGAACATATACATATGTATGCATTACATACATAAATTAGGAACAATATTGTGTACTTAATATTATTAAAGTTTTATTTGCTCACATATTTTAGAGAAATAATGAGTATTTTTTTAGAGAATGTTGTCCTAAGCCAAAGTACAACCTACTGATCTACAAAGGACTTTGAAGCCCCAGTCCCAAGCAGAGAGGACAGTGCCACCTGGCGATCCAGTGGGAAACTGCACATTCTCTGTCTAGGGGTCTACTGCTTGGGTTTACAGCAGGGCTTTGAACCAGTTTGTTTTGGTTCCACCTCCTGCAAATTAAGAATCACCTGGGGATCTTTTAAAATGTAGATTCTGATTCAGTATATCTGGGGTGGTAATTCAAATTCTCAGCAGGTGATCGAACCGGAATGAACTGGTTCAAAGCCTTGGTTTACAGGTTCTCTTAAATAAAACAGGCTCTGCCAACTCTCCAGTTCCTTATCCACTTGTACTGGAGCTCAGCTCTTTTGCCTTCTTTCCTTTCTTCTTTCTTTGTTAAACGTATCTTTCAGTCGCCCCTCTATTCCAATTATCACCTAGGAGTCATGGGATTGGCCGTCCTCCTAGTCTTACATAGCACACAAATAAGGGAAGCCAGAAAACTATACTCAATACGATCATGTAAAACAAAACTCACTGCCATCAAGTCAATTCCAACTAATAGCGACCGTACAGGACAGAGCGGAACTGCCCCACAAGATTTCCAAGGCTGTAAATCTTTATGGAAGCCGACTGCCCTATCTTTCTACTGTAGAGTGGCTGGTGGGTTTGAACCACCGACCTTTCAGTTAGCAGCTGAGTACTTTGTGCCACCAGGGAGCCTTATACTCAATATGATCGTGTATACATGGGAAAATACTGGAATGAAATACAAAAACAGGAAACATTAACTACCCAAAAAAAAAAAAAAAACCCCACTGCCACCGAGTCAATTCCCACTCAAAGCAACCCTATAGGACAGAGTAGAACTGCCCCATAGGGTTCACGAGGACTGCCACATCTTTCTCCCACGGAGCAGCTAGTGGATTCAAACTGCCGACCTTTCAGTCATCAGCTGAGCACTTAACCACTGGGCCACCAGGGCTCCTCAACTTCATTATCAGGAAGTGTTTATGTATTTGCTTACTAGTGTATTGTCATTGTCTTCCAGTAGAGGGCATGGAGTGTCCTCCATGACAGCACAACCCATGTCTGTACCTAAAATGCCTTCAACAGGGCCTGGCACACACATACAAAGTATTCAATAAAATTTTGTTGAATCAGTTGGTTATTTCAGGATGGAGTGATTCCTGTTTTTTTTTTTTTCTCTAAACACACTTAAATTTTGCAGCTGCTCACTGATCAATGTGAATTATAATTAGAAAAAAGAATGATACCACTAATTGGTTAGCATGGCCTAAGAGCTATAATAGTGCTCCTTTCTAAAAATCACAAAGATATGACAAAGATTTTAAAGAGCCATCTAATCACTCACTTACTACCAGCCTGGGAGATAACTGAAGTCATCTCTATCCTGTCTGTTGCCTACAGAGAGATCACAGCAAGGTTAGGAACGCGCTGATAATGGCAGGAAGAGTCTCTGACTTCCCCTCACTCTCATGTATATGCTGAGGACTTTGATACTACAGTCACCAATCTAATCACAATACTTTCAATTACAGAAGTGCTAGCTAGCATGTAAAAAAGTTCAAGAAAATGTCAATGCTCATGAAAAATATGTGACCATAATCCCAGGACAAGGTTAAGTAAATTTATAATGAAAGATGGTTGTTAAAAATATAGTACACACAAACCTCACACCCAGCCACTGCTGATCCATCATAAGGTGAACTTTGTCAATTCTGACATTTTTGGCATAGTGCAGTCGTTTTGGCAAATCAGGAGACAAATATGGTTTGAAATGCTGGTCAGGTTTTCGGCACTGAAAAACAAGTAATTATTTCTTAAAAATACGCAAACCAATTCAACAATTTCATCTTCTAAAACTATTGCTGTTGTGTGTGGCCGAGTCACTTCTGAATCATAGCAAGCCTATGGGACAGAGTAGAACTGTCCCATAGGGTTTCCAAGGCTATAATCTTTATGGAAGCGGACTGCCACATCTTACTCCTTCGGAGTTGCTGGTGGTTTCTAACCTCGGACCTTTCGGTTAACAGCCGAGCACCTAACCACTGCGCCCCCAGGACTCCTTACACTATTTATTAAACACTTTTTAGAAATAAGGGAGTTTAATCCAGCTGATAAAATAGGAATATTAAATGTATTATCAATATGGTCACATACCCTAATTACAGTATACAGTTACAACAATTTTTACAAATAAATTCTGATTTAAATTATGATTTGATGTTTGATATTTTAAGTTTTACTGTTATGTATATATTTTAAACCACTATAAATCTTCCCTCCTTCTTTGACACAGACTACGTATAAGTAATAAGTCTAGATTTGGAGTGGCATTACAACTCTTGAGTCTAAATTATATATGAAAGTATATAACATAATAGTAGATATGGGTAAACATTTTTAAAAATCAGTTTAATTAAGCCAAGAATTCCTTCCCAATTGACTCAATTTATCCTTTAAGTCACCTACATTTGCTTAATTTTCAAATCAAGTCAAGAGCTTTTGAAACCTAATAGTTTCCTTTTTGTGAAAAAATCATGGATTCCACACAAATTGGGGTGAAATATTATTTCTTTGAAAATTACTACTGTAGCTAGATGGTGTATTTTTAAAACTATGTAAAAATGCAAATCACACTGGTATCTAGTTACATAAAAAATGAGTAAATGAGAAATAGAACTACAAAGGAACTTTCTTTCCCTCATGACCCTTTTGCGGAACAAGAGAAAAAGAAATAAACATAAAGAACTATTTTCTCCCTCCTTACCTTTGTGAGGAAAAAGAAAAATAATAAACATAAAGATAAGAATATGGGGAAATAACTTTTTTCATTTCCTCATTTTTCTCATTTATCTTAAACCTCACTATCTCATAAATACTAACAAGTCTGTCACTAATATCTCATATTCAATTTATATAAGAAAAAATAAGAGAAACAATGAAATTGAAAAAAACAATTTAAAAAGAAAATGAGAGAGCAAAGAGAGTTAGCTATAGAATGAAAGAGTAAAGAAAAAAGTATTTATTGCACATATAATTTTGTCAGTTTTTTCCTCCGTATTTTGGTCTTCCTGTCTTTTTCAGGCTTCTTATTTTTCTGCTTCTTCATTTATCTTTACTTCCCTCTTAAGCCAACATTTTTGCTAACTTCCAGACGGGCATGAGATGGTACTGCTAAATATGTACCTTCTCCCCAGATGAAAGGGACTAGAACGTTCCCCAAAGAATCACAGATAATTTGACTAGTTACACCTTCTGAGCCAGGGTGTAACCAGAGTAAATCTAGAGAAAATTGGTGGGGACATTGCCAATCTTTGAAGAAGTATGGGATTAACCCTTGCATTTCACAGTTTGGGATGAAGACACCAGAGTGGAGATAAAATCTTGGTCATTTTCTCTAAAAACAAAGTTTATGCTGATGTCTCTTATGCAGCTAGAATGTTGTGAAACATCAGGGTGGCCAGTTCATGTTTGACCAATACGAGCTCAATATAGGCCCACAGAACAGCACTACTGGGAATACTGTACCACCACACAAAATATTTTCCAGAAATATAGCAGACTACTCTGCAAAATGGTGGTGCATTTCTTTGGGCCTCTGTTGCACCAGGTCCAGTCCATATCCATGGTACCATATAATGGATTTCCAAATCCCAAAGTACTCAATGCTTTTGCACCACTAGGATTGTTAGAGATTTGCCCTTCTTCACCAACACACTTCAGCTATTTGGAGCATGAAGTGATGGAACAAAAGGAAAACAGTATGTGGATTTAGAAAATCCACATATTGAAAATTCTAAACTACAATTTACAAATTCAGTAAGCATGAACACAGCATGCATACACTTCACTAGTAGGGTGGGACTGTTGATCATGTTTACTCTCAAGATCAGGGTATTGGAAGGTGTAGGGGAAAAAAGGAGTGATTAACACTGTAAAGGATTTCTGTTCTAATGGTCATTCGTGCTTCAAATGTGCAGTGGTTTCCACATTATATTAACCATTTTTTACCCAGTGTTTCCTTATCTTTCATCCTTCACATTCCATCCTTAAAATTTTTACTATAATTATATACCACCTTCACTTAAATTTAGCTCATTCCAAGCAATAATAAACTCATAAATTCCATGTAATAGACATATATTTGTGAATATACTTTAAATACATAGCTATTAAAGTAACCACATAAGAACATTTCAGGTCTCTCTAGCAGTAGTGAACCCGCTTTGAAAAATCTTGCTTTAATCTATCTGAACTTCTTCCTGGTCATTTACTTACAAACCAGAACATGGGAACCAATCAAAAGCAGTTGCAGTTAGAGAGTAAGAAGATGATTTTTCTGATCTGTACAAAAGGATCTACAAGACTCTGTGATTCCCCATTTTCTGATATTAAGTCACACAAAAAATGAAAAGCTAAGCTTCCTGAAGCTCACGAGAACAGCCTTTTTGAGTGGGACATCTGCTAGCTCAGTGAAAGCCAGGAATCAGTGCCATGGTTACCCTAAACTAACTTCCAGTAGTGGTGTTAATCCTAAAATGAAAACATCTCAGATGAAAGCAACTGATGATTCACATTTAAAATAATGCTGATGGACAGTTTAAAAAAATAAATTACCAGTGGCTTGGACTCAGAAATGTAGAATAAAAATTTCTATAACTTATAACCTGAAACCCAAATTGTTAAAGACCATCACACTGAATTAAATAAGTGTATTGAGGAGGCTATATACTTACACTGAGGTTCTTAACAATTCCTTCAGAGTTAACTGTTTCAAAAGAAAATAAATAAATCACATTACAACTGATACAAAATATGTGAACAACTCAGTGAATTTGACACATACATTTATTAATGACTATGATCTGGTAAAATTAAACAAAAGATTATTTTAAGCAAAGAATGATTCAGGATTTAAGAACAGAGTGGAATATGCTTTAACTTAACAATATTAGATACTACCATAGACGTCGTAGATTATACCGAAACATGGGAACTTCTCATTTGCTTTTGTCCCAAGAGGTCAGAAGGGAGGCGTGAAACCCCTTAGATCCTCAGAAAATCAGGGTGCTATTGTTATTCACTTTCAGTTTCACCACACATTTCACATGGGAATCTTTATACTTACAGCTGTAGAAGTCTTGAGGCGTATTACTAGACCTGATACGAGGTGCAGGCCCTTCATACATGTAGAAGTTTATTTCTGGAAAATAATCTGTCATATATTCCATCTGGTCACAGTAAGTCTGATCCATCCCTGAATCAAAAACAAACAAACATTATCTACTGAATGTACTGTGTATTTTTACACTAATAATGCGTGCCTTCTACATTTGTTTGCCAACTGCTCCCTTCCCCCGGGAAGTATTTTTGTAAGTGCTACTATGACAATTTTTTTTACATGTTGCTGTAAAAAAATTAGCATAGTGCACTTACAAAAATACCTCGAGGGGGTAGGGAGGGAGAGGTTGGCAAACAAAAGTAGAAGGCATGCGTTATTTGCACAAAATATGGTACATAGGTAGGAACAATCTGTAGTCTTTGTTCATATCAAGTAGGAGACATTTTGTTACTACATCTCAAATCAAGTTTCACTGATAACCTATACAACTTATCCTATTACTTAACTCTAAATGGCAGAACTTGAAAATAGTGGCAGTAGAGGAAACAGTCATATTTATGAGAGAATAGACAGTTATTATAGACAGATCCTTTGTTCAATGAAGATTAATTAAATAATTTTGAGGAAGAAGATCCTCTGTAGGAGGTTAAGACTCAAAAATATCTGTCCCCTAAGGTTCCTACCTAATCTTTTAAGTTGCTGTTATCAATTTGATCTCATATAGATAGTGCTTAGAAAAGCATAATGCTCAAGGCAGACTACTTGTATCAATTTCTTACAACAAAATATAGATAATTATGTTTCCCTTTCATTTTACAACACAAGGGCAAAGTGTTAGGGAATCATTCTAGAATTGAAAAAAAATAAATTACTACATCTCTCATTATCTTGATGTTGTAAAATACAAACAAACAAATGTCCTGCAGACATGCTGTTCCTGTTACTTGGCCTCTTTTCACCCTTTACACCCCATGCCGGTTTCCTTCACAGCTGTTAGAGCTTAGCATGAACGTCCTCCTTGAGAAGACAGTTCTGAATACTCTCTTTTGAAAAGGTCCATGTCTGCTTTTTGTGCCTCTGAACATTCCATACCTTGTAGGGTGCTCACCATTTAGTAAGCACTTAAAAAATGCTTATTGAATGAATGCATGCTTTCAAACTGTGTGAAGGCATTCTGCACGAGGTTGGAGAAGATGTGGCAGCCCTTCTCCTACCTTTCACATCCAGGTTAAGTGAAATCAAGAGTTAACCTCAAGTAGAGAAGTATAGGGTGACAAAGGCTTTATAGATGAATGCTGTGATTACGCACAACTAAAAAACTTACACATGACATGGCAAAACTAGCCAACGTGGTAAACTGCAGCCAACAGATACGAATGAATCACCAGCTGAAAAGCACTTGCTAGGGCTGAATAACAACCCTACCATGTCCCTGGTAAGTGCTATTGACTCCATTTTTACGGAAATTAAAGTATATGGGTTGATTTTCAAAAAGAATGTTAGAATAGTTAAACTACAATTTTTATTTCAGCCCGGTTTTCATCACAGCATAACAACAAAACTCACTCTTCGCTTATTCAAGAGTTTCTAAGTCGGGAAGCACATACTTTAGAATATTACTATTTTTGAATGCTCCCTGAAGCGATAAAATACAATCAATGATAAAATATGATTTAAAAAAAAAAAGAAAAGCATACCATGGTCAGCCAAAAGGATAATATTGACACAGTTGTGTAAGTTCCGCTGTTTTAAACCTTCCATCAACATTCCGAAAGCCTGATCTACCAACTGCAAGGCTTGAACCACCTAGGATAAAAATTTGGAGTGAACATTGCTTTCATTAATTGTTTTAACTAGCCAAATCACTGAGTAAAAATTAAACACATTTCCTTCATTTAAATCACTGGTTTTTGAAATAGGACACTAGAATCCAGCATCCATGCCACCATATTTACCAGCACCAATTCTCTAAATTTCTGTAGAAAATTAAACCGTGTTCCCTATAGAGAAAGATACACTACTGGTCAATAAATATATGAAAAAAAAAACCAAAATGTTCAGCCTCAACAAACACTCTTCAACTGCAAATGTTTACATGATTATGCTGTATTTGGAAAGGGGAGTTTTCGGGGACGTCTATGGAAGTCTAAACTGTTAAACACTTTCTGAAGGATCATGGGACAATATGTAACCAGAGAGTTAAAAATGTGAATACCTTGTAACCTAATAATTCTACTTCTGGGCATTTGTCCTAAGTAAATAATTAGAGGACAAATAAATGGAGACTAACAAACAAGGATTGATATTCATCACATTACACAAGGAAAAAGTAATATGGCATATTCTACAGCCATTAACTAACATTTGTAAAGAACAGTGGCATGGGAAAATATTCACAAGACAATGTTACACATAATAATAAAAGAAAAAAGAAAACTGAACTGTAGACACACCCTTATATGATCCTGATTTTGTTTTTAAATACATCTAGCATATTCTTAGTAAACGCACATGCCCAGAAAACTATAAGGAAACTTATCAAAGTACTATTAACAGTGGTTGTCATTGAATAGCAAAATTGAAGTTCATTTTTATTTTATACTCTTCCATGTTTTTAAATTTTCCTATACTTTATTATCAATATAGTATATTGAACTGACTTTTCAGTGAATAAGAAAGTGTAATAGCAATGGATTGGGGAAATGTGCTTAATCTCTCATAGCACTATTATAACAATAATTTCTTTTTCTTTTTTGCTTTTGCATGCCATTTATTAATAAGAGCTTAAGTGTATTATCTCATGAAACGTTAACAGCAAATATGAGCAAAAATTAAAATAGAGAAGAAAAAACAGTTAGTACGTTTTAGATCATTTCAAAGCCATCCTGTAATACAGTCAAGAGTAGTATTGGAATACAAAAGAGAAAGAAGAGGGGCATTTCTGATAAAGGGCAAAGGCATGCTGCCCGGTAAACACATTTACTTAAAGCTTTACAATTGAGGACACTTGTGAAATGACTTTCTGTACAGTAAAAAACAAACCAACCAACCAACCAAACCCACTGCCATCGAGTCGATTCCGACTCATAGCCACCCTATAGGACACAGTAGAACTGCTCCGTAGGGTTTACGAGGCTGAAAATCTTGACTGAAGCAGACTGCCACATCTTTATTCCACAGAGTGGCTGGTAGCTTCGATTGCCCACCTTTCAGTTAGCAGTCAAACACTTTAACTACTGTGCCACCAAGACTCTGAAATAATAACAGACTATGTTAATGAAGAAACTAAATAATGAAGAAAATAATATTAAAGAGTTCACTTCAATGATAATGGGGGCCTGGAAGGGGAGTAAATTTGGTTTAGGCAATAACATATTAAGTCCAATGATAAGGAACTCATAAGTGGAACTGTGCATAGATAGTGGTCGTATTTACCCCGGTGGACTTGGGTTGAAACGGGTCACACTGCTTTGTTGAATTGACATGTGCAGTGAGCCTTGATGTTTTCACTATATGAAATAACAGTGACACATGTATTTAATAACTGTTTACCAAATGAATCAAAATATAGTTAATAAGGCAGATATCATTTTTTGACTTATAACTATTTTGATCTCATATATATATTAAATACATTTGTGCTCAATGAAAATTCAATAAGTTTTTGTGTGGGATAGGGTTAGACGATTTTATATTTGTTTAAAAACAAAAAACTTACATTAGCACTGACTGGTCCACCTTCATGTCCTGCTGAATCAGGCTCTTCCACATATAAGGTATAAAAATTGGGTCTAATTGAAAAGGAAAAAGACACTATCAATTTAGACTAAATCTATAGTTGGATTTGGGGATTTTGTAGATCTAGAACTTGCTGTCAGATTATGTAGATAGATCTAGAACCTTTTCTTTCTCACTGCCCTCCCTCTCTCATCCAGGCCAGGTAGTTTTACTTCGACCTAGGAGGTATAGGTCTCCTACCAGAAAGCAGATAATACCTTCCTGTTATTCCTTGTTACGAAAATCTGTCTTGCTCTTGTGAAGACCTTGGTGTGCCCCAGTCCTTTACATTTCCTGGTTTCTGACTTTTTGCTGACTCTTTGTTCTGCCCGCTGGTATTCATACACACCCAGGTGTCTTTTCAAATGCCTGGTTTCTGTTGCATTGTTTTCCTGGTGCTCCCTTTTCAGGACGCTCTGACTTCATCCAGCCTGTTGCTATGGCGTTGCTCTGAGCTCTGGTTCCTGGAGTCAGATCTCAGGAGCAAGTTTCAGACCCACTCTCAGTTCTGCCCTCGATCCATATCAGGTTCTGTAATATTTGCCTCTGCTCTCTAATACCAGCTCTATCTCTGTTGTTCAACAGTGGCAACCACATCTCTACAGCAAAAGTGCCCATTAAACAGGAGCTCTAGGGATTTCTTCTACAAAAGGTCATTTATAGCAAGGAAATAATTTCATTTTATAACCATGCATATCCCACTATGCCACCATTTCTCTGACACTAGATAGTACCTTTCAGTTTTGGGCAGATCCAGCCATTTTAATAATGTAAAGATTCTCTCTTCAAATGGAACACTACTGAAAAAAGAGTAAAAATAATTTAAAACAATTAATTGCATCAAGAATTGTCCCATTATATGCCTATTCAGGAAGGCAGGTCGATATTTTCAGATATTCATTTTGTGTTCATATATGGTCAAAATACTGAAAGAGATTCAGTATTATTCAAAGGAATTCCTGTTTTCAGTACATTATGTACAAATTTACATGCAGCACTATAAATCAAATGTATATCAATTTCTTTCCTTCTCATCTTTCTCCTTCAATTTTGCCCCAACTAAAATAAAAGGCCCTGCCCTATTTTCCATTTATTGGTTTATTTTTATCCATTTTATTAATTTAGGCATTGATGTATATACTGAGCACCTATTGTCAGTCACTCGTTCACTGAAAACAAAGTTTATCAGGGAGTAAAACAAAGACACCTGCCTCCCTAGAGATTGTATTCTACTGGAGGAAGACAAGGAATAAACTTAGACCTAATATATAAATAAATTATAGAGTGTGTTAAAAGATGATAAATGCAATGTGAAAAAAGAAAAACTAGAGCAGAGTAAGGGGCACTGAGAGACTGAGATGGAGTGGTATGGAATTTTAAATCTTAGTGTGGTCAGGGAAAAAGACATTATTGAGAAGGTGATTTTTGAGCAAAAGCCTGAAGGAGGCGAGGGAGTTGGCTGTGTGGATATATGGGGTGAGATCTTCTCAGGCACAGGGAACAGCCAGTGTAAAAGTCCTGGGAGGAAGGAATCCTGGTATGTTAGAGGCCTAGAGAGGAGGTCTGTATGGCTAAAGCAGAATGAGCATACAGGGGGATGGTGGGAGAGGAGATCTGAGAGGTAGGAGGACAGGATGTTGTGGGCCATACTGCATAGGTCCTCATAGGTATTTACTGAATGAAATAGGGAGCCATCAAGGTTTTTGGTGCCATCATAGTTTGAATTATGTCCCCCCAAAAATGTGTGTATCAGTTTGGCTAGGCCATGATTCCTGGCACTGTGTGATTTTCCTGTATGTTGTAAACTTGCCTCTATGATGTCAATGAGGGAGGATGGGTGGCAGTTGTGTTAGTAAGGCAGGACCTGATCTACCAGACTGGATTTTGTCCTGAGGCAATCTCTTGAGATATAAAAGACAGAAGTGAGCAGAGAAGACAGGGGGACCTCACACCATCAAGAAAGCACTGTCAGGGGCAGAGCGCGTCCTTTGGACCGGGTCCCTGCGCAGAGACGCGCCTAGTCCAGGGGAACACTGAAGAGAAGAAGGCCGACAGAGAGAAAAAGCCTTCTCCTGGAGCTGATGCCCTGAATTTGGACTTTTAGCCTGCTTAGACTATGAGGAAATAAACTTCTCTTCATTAAAACCATCCACTTGTGGTATTTCTGTTGTAGCAGCACTAGATGACTAAGACAGGTGCAAAAAAAGAGTCATAATTGGACTTGCTTTTTAAAGGAATCATTCTGGCTGGTAGATTAAGAATAGATTATACAGGGAGCAAGAATAGAGACAGGGAGACCTGTTAAGAAGTGATTGCAGCAATACACGCAAGAGATGATGATAGCGCAACCCAGAGTAGTAATGCTGGAGGTAATAAAAAAGTTCTCAGATTCTGCACATATTTTGAATTAGATCCAAAACCATTTTCTGACAGACTGGATGAGGGATATGAGAGAAAAAATAAGTGATGACTTCAAGAGTTTTGGCCCAAACCACTGAAAGAAAAATTATCATCAAGATTAAGACAAAAACAACCACACAACTCCAAATTAGTCCCGTCTAGGTGGGATCATGCCTGAAAGAGCGTCACTTACTTGTTATATAACATATATTTGGAAGGAAAGGTGCCGTTTATAGCCACATCTGATCCTGGCCAAAAGTAGGTACCCGCTTTTAAACCTTGATACATTGCTGTCAGCCAGATCTGTAAGAGAAAATTTTTTAAGATGAGTAAAGTCAGTAGAAGAATGAGTTTGGGTAGAAATGGTGCAACTTATTAGAAACTGAACAATATTTACAGTTGCAAAATATATTTAACTTATTTAAGTTTATAAAATTTATTAGAATTATTTAAAACTTGTCTTTGTAACGGTTAAAATAAATTTCCGGGGATCCTTAAATATCAGAAAGGTAGTAAGGTAGTAAAAAATATCATTTTTTTTCAAATTGGTAAGATTGACAGTTCCACTTTCTTTTTTAATGAATTACAAAACAGAATGAGGAAAATTAAGATATTCTAACTAAGTAACTTCCAGGTTGCTATATTTACAAAACAACACCCAAGTTTCAGCATAAGGTAATTTCAGTGAGAAATTATGAATTTTCTAAAAATTCAAGTTGTAAATAGTGGTGAAACAAGTTACCACACTCAGCCCTTGAAACTAGATGGATAATGTAAAACTCAAAATAGAGATGGCAGATGCTCTGCTCCATAAAGAAGTTTGCTGTGACGTTGGGAAATGGAGGCTATTTGGGTTCTCTGTGTAGAATACTACTTACTGGTTGTCCATTCCACCAGGCTGGATCCTCTTTCTCCTTTGATGAAAGTGAAAACTTCATGTTGAGGTTTACATCATACATATTATTGTCAATGATGCCATGTGATTCTGGATATAAGCCCTAAAATTATATATATATATATATAAAGACATAAGATAAAATAATGTATAATAAAATATATCTTTAAATTAAAATATAAGATCTATAACTCCTATCTAGGAAAGTTGTCATATACCTTTCAATGTAAAACCTTTGGATTAGAACTGAGATACCAGTACATGTAATGTATGTGTGTGTATATATATATATAGTATACGTAACATATACTATATATATAGTCACTATCCACCCTTCCATCCATCCACCCATCGATTCAATCAGTCATTCAATCCAATCACACATATTCATTCAATAATCATTCTACACACTTTTGAGTGCCTATTATATCCCATGCAGTTGTAACTATTTTTAGACAGATTTTAGGGTCATTGTTTCAGAACAATTATAGATGGCAACGGGTTTGGGTTTTTTTATATATATATATTTGTTGTTGTTGGGTGCCACATATCCACATATGTATATACATGTAAATGTATACGTATACATTTACATATAGCCAAAAACCAAACCCATTACCTTGGAGTAGATTCCGACTCATGGCGACCCTATAGGACACAGTAGAACTGTCCTATAGGGTTTCTAAGGAGCAGCTAATGGATTTGAACTGCTGACCTTTTGGTTAGCAGCCCAACACTTCTGCATACATATATTTAAAGAAACCATTTCCATCGAGTAGATTCCATCATAGCAACACTATAGCACAGGGTAGAAATACCCCATAGGGTTTCTAGGACTGTAATCGTTATGAAAGCAGACTGCCACATCTTTCTCCTACAGAGTGGCTGGTGGGTTCGAACCACCAACCTTTCAGTTAGCAGCCAAGTGTATAACCAATGAGCCACCAGAGCTCTTCATACATATATGGTAACTTAATAATACATATATAATTCCTTATTGGAGCCCTGTTGGCACAGTGGTTAAGAGCTTGGCTGCTATCCAAAAGGTCAGCAGTTCAAATCCACCAGCCCCTCCTTGGAAACCCTATGGGGCAGTTCTACTCTGTCCTATAGGGTCCCTGTGACACGGAACCGACTTGACGGCAACAGTTTTGGGTTTTTTTTTGGTAATCCCTTATTTGTTTATATATGTGTGTGTGAGGGTATACAATATATATTATAGATGTATATGTATGCATAAGGAGCCCTAGTGGTGCAGTGGTTAAGTGCTCAGCTGCGAACAGAAGGTTGGTGGTTCAAATTCATCAGCCGCTCTGTGGGAGAAAGATGTGACAGTCTACTTCCATAAAGATTGCAGCCTTGGAAATCCATGGGGCAGTTCTGCTCTGTCCTATAGGGTGCTATTAGTCAGAATCGACTTGACGACAACGGGTATATGTATGCATATATATGTGTGAGTGTGTGTGTATACACACACAGTTATGTAAGTGTTAAAATTTAAATAAGTTATAGTTACTGTTCCACAGTAATAAAACAGTAAAATGCAAAGTAGTAAAGACACAAACATCTTTTGACAATAAACGCTCAGGCAGAAGACTTCTTAAGATGTGTTCTAAATCTGTGAATCCTAAATGACTTATTTTTCCTTTGAGTTCATTTTAATCTTTCCAATGAAAAAAAGAAGCAGAATGGTAAAGAATGAATGGTGTTTGAAAATACCTACATCTTCTTATCCGCTGCGAATTCACTGTCCCATTTTGTTTATCTAAACTTGTAGCCAGTATGAATGCACTTATGAAACAAATGCATTTATTAAGTTAAATGTAATGAAAAGATTAAGAAAAAAAATAAATTTCCCACATTAAAGTGACTGTCCACATATATAGAGCCTACTATTTCCCAGCAGGCCTTCAAATAAATGAAGGCTAATCAAAGGACAGTGGGAGAATGCTATGTCTCAAAAAGACGCTATCTTGGTAGATCATCATGGTGAACTAGGCACTCATTCATAGTTAACAGCTCACAGCACTTGAGTAGCCTTATGCTGAGACACTCCTTCCCAACCTGGATCCAGTCATGAACTATGACCACAAAATCTTGTGAAATGTGTGGCATGAGGCTCGGCCAGTTCCTGCCTAAGCATGTCTGGTGTGGTCAGTTGCCTGTCAGTGGCCGGTCAGTCAGTCTTGCCACTTGACCAAGCACTTACCGTAGCAATGGTGTAATGATTTGGGAAGGTTTTGGTTGGATAGACACCTCGCATGTATTTTGCATGAATTCCACATATTTCTGCAACAATGAACAGTGAGAAATTAGCAAATTGCTTCTTCCTCAGAAGTTTTTTTGAATAACAAAAAATCTGAACGTGGAAATTTCCCAGAGAAATAAAAAACTAACTGAAGAGTGGATTGTTGATGGAAAGAGGTTGAAATGCTGACTCTGAAAGTTCACCATTCCAAGGAATGTCAGCTTTTAGGAGAGGAATGAGCTACATCAGGGGTCCACAAACATTTTCTGTAAAGGGCCAAAGAGTACACATTTTCAGCTTTATGGGCCATATGATCTCTGTCACACCCATTCAACTTTGCCACTGTAACCAGAACGAGCCAGGCAATCAATAAATGAGTGCAGCTGTGTTCTAATAAAACTTAATTTATGGACACTGAAATTTGAATTTCATATAATTTTACATGTCACAAAATATTATTCTTCATTTATTTTTTTCTCCTAACCATTTAAAAATATAAAAAAATTCTTGGTTAGTGGCAGGCCCTATGAAAACAGGTAATGGGCCAGATTGGGCCCACTGGCCAGTTGGGTGACCCCTGAGCTAAAGGTATCCTAAATTATACATTACAGGCTTTGTTTGATTTTGCTGTTCCCTTCTTCCAATGCTGGTAATTACAGTAAGAATTTCTATATAACATTTGCATCCCAGCAGATAGTTCTTATATGTAAACTGTCCAGAATAACAAAAAGTAAGCACAACTGTCTAGATAACTAAAAAGGAATTTGATATAACTACATAGGCAAGTAGTAATGTTTACAAAAGAAGCTAACTTTACACTTATTACTTTCAGTACAGTTTCCATTTCATTAGTAACCTTTCCTGTGATCTGCTTTTCACAAAGCATGGCATTAATTTTGCTTTCATTGTTCTGACTGTTTTCAGTCTGTCCAATAACCCTGCTTGAGGAGGTCAGGACCACTGGAACACATTGTTATTTCCTCTGCAGCTGTGAACTACAAGAAATTTTCTATACAGAAATCCTGCTGCCTCTAATTCTAAAAGAAAGCTTCACCATTATAGAGTCTATTTAGGTTAAAACAAAAAGTAAAATTGATTGTTGTCCAGAAAGTCACGAGCTTTGCAGCTGGAAACAGTGAATGTTTTCTCCGATAGGTATGGGGTTGGTCTTTTTCCTAGGCTCTAGTTCGGGGATTTCCAAAGTGATCCCGGAACTTCCTCCTTCAGAACCTTCTAGAGTTCCATAATAAGTCTACTAATTAGGACTCTGATGGGGGAGTCAGAGGTAGGGGAGGGATAAGTTCAAAAATTTACACTTTTAACAAGCACTCCAGGTGATTCTGATGTAATTAAGTTTAAGAACTAACTGCTCTAGGGCTCGACTCATAGCGAATAATTTAGGAGTAAAATAAGCTTTCTTTTCTTTCCTTGTTAATGCCACCAATAAATAAATCTTGTCCCCAACAGGAAGAGAAACATTTAGTATTATTAAGAAATCATATGATAAGAAAATAAAATGAAATCTAATCCTCTTATGTAATTAAAAGAATTTAAATGGGGGGGGGTGGTAGAATGAACAATGAACAGAAGTCAGTTTCTGTTTTTACTGCCCTAAAACATGGATGACCAATTCAAAATCTTAAATGCCTAAGCCACAGGGTATAAAAGAAAATACAAACTAAGCTGCCAGTAGGAGCCCTGGTGGCACAGTAGGTATAACAATCCCCTTATTGGAAACGACTAGCCACTCCCAGGGAGAAAGTTGTGGCAGTCTGTTTCTGTAAAGATTTACAGGCTTGGAAACCCTATGGAGCAGTTCTGCTCTGTCCTATAGGGTCGCTATGAGTTAGAATCAACTTGATGGCAGTGGGTTTGGTTTTTGGGTTTTTGACCTCCCTATTGAGAATGTCTTAAACAAGATACACAACCTGACTTTTACAGACTCGGGCTGCCATTTTGGATTACCTGCCTTTGAACCAAAGCTACTGGAGTACAGCCTTTAGAAAGCAAAGTCTTCTTCTAGGTTTTATAATCTAAATTATGACTGAATAGATTATTGGAAAGACATACAATAAACTGATAACAGTAGTTGCTTCTGCAGAGAAAAACTGGAAAAATTAGGAAAGAGGTTTTGTTTTTTTACTATATACACTTTAGGGTTGTTAGAAACTTTTTACCACGTGCATATTTTACTTTAAAAAAAAAGCACATTTTTTTAAAAGGAAAGTATCAACCAAATAAAAATCTGAAAATATAAATGGAATAAACATATATCCATAGTAATTATAAACTATAGAAGGGGTGGAGGACTAAATGGATGAGTAGTTGAGCAGCTGAAGAACATACAGATCAAGACTATAATAAAGTCTTTAGGAAATTCTTATGAGTGACATATGAAATATTATTTAAGGTATTCCTACAAATTGAAAACATGGCAACTGTTCAGCAATATCCACAGGCTCAAAATAGGCACTTATCCTTTTGTGTATAATTTAGTAGAATAGCCTCCTAGAAAGCCTAGCCATACAGTTGCCTGCACTCAAGCAATCAAGAACAATCAACTCTGCAAGGGCTCTGATTTTCCCAGTAATTGAGAGCATACTCCTGAATCCTTGACACGCAGAGAAGAAAAGATGAAGACGGCAAACAGCAAATGGCATCTGCTGTAGGGAATTCCAGGGTTCCACTATTCAATATTGCCAACCTTGCTAATTCTGACCTTCAAAACTCTACATACCTTGACTGCCTGGAAACTAGTTTTCTACCTGTTATTTCTAGTTTTCGTTTATCCCTTTCCCACCGAACTTCCCAGGAAGCTGGACAGCCTATTCAGGCCAAAACACTCCTATTTAACTTGACAGTTTCCTGATCTTGTTCTGGCCCTTCCTTGTCTGCTGCCACCCACATTGAGACAAGACAACATCCTAGCATTCTCACTAGAGTATATCTGAGAGCCAAATCCTCATCCACTTAGTTGTTACTGAAATGACTCAGTAGTGTTAGTTCATACTCAGTGTCCGCAACAACTTTAGCCAAACCCAGGCAGCTTGATGGGACACTTGAGATGGGGCCCTAGACTTCCTGAACAGTGATGCCTTCTGTCTCATACCTCACCTCAAGGCAAAGTGAGGCCTAATCCTAACATTTTACCAGCCCTGGTTAGCTTGTCTGCTAACCAAAAAAGGTTGACAGTTTGCATCCACCAGCCACTTCTTGGAAACCCTATGGGGCAGTTCTACTCTGTCCTATAGGGTCTCTATGAATCGGAATTGACTCGACAGTGATGAGTTGGTTTTTTTGGTATCTTAATTGGGACTCTTAAAAACAAATTGCCCCATTTTGCCTTGCTCCACATATTTAGTGATGTCTTTTCACATTGGAGGATTGAGATGCTGTCTGAATGACTGAAAAGTATTTTAAAGTTTAGAAAACGAAAAGCACTCAATGATTCATTATTTCATGGTGTCATATCCAACTCCCAATGGGATAAGCAAATCAATAATTCCCTTTCAAAAGGGATCCAGTCAAGCCTGCCTACTGAAATTCCCTTTTCGGCACAAGAGAAATGCAGGTAAGGAAATGGAAACTGAGAGATGTTGATTAACTTCCCAGGCCAGGGTTATCTCAGCAGTAAGTGAGGAGTCCTGGATTTGGAGCCAATTCTGGCAGAGCCCAAAACTCTTAACCTCTTTGCTATAGATTTGTCTCAGGGCGTGAAAGAGAAGCTGAAGAAATAGGGTACTTAGTGTTCTAGATGGAATTGTTTATCTTTCTAGAATCATGGAACTTTAGAGCTGAAATTAGCAGTAGAAATTATGAGACCCAGCCATTTTATTTTACAAATGAGGAAACTGAGGCCAAGAAAAGTCAACTGACTTACACAGTGTTTGCTTTAACAGTGAAATTGTCATAAACTTTGAGAACCTTGTATATAGAAGAGGGCTTGGGAGAAAGAGAGAAGCTGCAGGGCAGTGAAGTGCATGGGCCTTGGAGCCAGCCTTTTGATTCTAATCACGTTCTGCCATCTTTTATCTCTGTGTCCTTGGGCTGTCGGCTTCTCTTTATTATTAACGTTATCAAATTGTACAGAGACCAAGTACCCTAATGTAGAAGTGCAACATCATGATGAAGATGATAATGGAAACAATAATTATAGTAATAACTTCAAATCATCCACTGTATACTACATGTACATTCTCACAGGATTATTATCATGACCATTTTACAGATGAAGAAACTGGAGCGCTAAAAAGTTAGGTAAACTTGCCCAAGGCCTCCCACCTAGTAAGTGGTGGAGTTAGGTCTCAGGCAGTTTGATTCTAGAAACAGAAGTAGATTCTGTAGCTCTCAATATTGGAGCTTTTGTATTTGATGGATCTGTCCAGTCTACCCACATTACCTCAGGATTCTGTCCTTGCTAGTCGTATCTATTTTGCTGAGACTTAGAAACCAGTTCTGACATATGCCACTTTTGAGCCAGTATATACGAACAGATTTCCATAGGACAGAAGTTATATTCAAATACAAACAAGTAAAAATAGACAAAGAGATGAACATCGTACTAAAAAAGGAGGAGGAGCCAACAAGTATAAAAACATACTCCAGGCAAAAGGAGTGATAAGGCATCAGGGCCTTGAGAGGACCTGGGTTAAGACAATTCATTAAAGCTAAAGGTTGGAAAGAAAGGTCCATCATCCAGAGTGTGACTAACTGGGTGTTGGTTTGTCATTTGCATGCTACTAATTGTAGAAGACTTACTCAGTTTATTAATATTAGGCATTAACATATGCCATGTTTGTAAATACTCAGCTCTAAACCCATCCATGGAAAACAAGATAAGTGGTGGCAAGTCGAACCTGAAAATGGAAAACAAAAGTTGGCCCATTGGTTTGATTGTAAAAAACAATAAATACACTTCTTGTGTACTACTTACAATTAGAAAAATGGTTAGAAAATATAATAAGAAAATAGTACTGGCAATGGTCTTTACAACATTAGTCACAATAATTAAACGGTGGAAACAACCCAAATGACCATGAATAACTCGAATGGGTAAACAATGTGCTTATATACATACAATGGAATATTATGCGGCCATAAAGAAAAATGAAGTTCTGATACATGCTTCAACATGGATGAACTTTGAAAACATTATGCTAACTGAAATAAGTCCATCACAAAAGGACAAATATTGCATGATCCCACTTATATGAAATGTCCAGAGTAGGCAAATGCATAGAGACAATAGTTTATTAGTTAACCATCCAGGGGCTAGGGGAAGGTGGGAATAGGGGGTTATTGTTTAAGGGGTACTAAGTTTCTGCTTGGGGTGATGAAAAAGTTTTGGAAATAGACAGCAGTGATGGTAACACTACATAGTAATTGTAATTAATGTCACTGAATTTATACCCTTGAAAATGGTTGAAATGGCAAATTTTGTTAAATATATTTTACTACAATTAAAATTTTAAAAACGAATGAGTTAGCCAGGGAGAGATGGTGGTATAATTCAAAATGTTTTCCTAGTTTCTTCTCTCCAACCATACCGTACTGATTTAAGTATGGGGAGACCCATGATTTTATGTATCAGTTGTACCTTCTTAATGCAGCAGGTAGTAAAACTGTGCCCTAGAAAAAGAAAGAAGAAAGGAAGGATAGAAGGGAGGGAGGGAGGGAAGGACGAAGGGAAGGATAAAGTAAGGAAAGAAGGAAGGAAGGTAGGAAGAAAATAGTACTGGGTTAAGTTTTCCTCTCCTTTTTTAAGAATTATTTCCCCTTAACAATTAGTACTTCTGGTGTGTAGATAATTTCTAATTAAAATGCACAACATTAAAAAATAAGTGCTAATACAACAGAGGGTTCTGGACAGAGCTGGAGAAGGATGTAGAACGCAATTCTAACTCACAAAAAAAAGACCAGATTTACTGGCCTAAAGGAGACTAGAGAAACCCCGAGAGGATGGCCCCCAGACACCCTTTTAGCTCAGTGGTGAAGTTACCTCCGAGGTTCACCGTTCAGCCTGGGAGTGGACAGCCCCATAAAACAAAACGAGACTAACGAGGCACAGCAGTCCAGGGACAAGGGCCAGAAGGCAGAAGGGGACAAGGAAGCTGGTGATAGGGAACCCAAGGTTGAGTAAGGATATTGTTGATGTGTTGTGAGATTGTTAACCATTGTCATAGGGCGATATTTGTAGTAACTGTTAAATGAGAAACTATTTTGTTCTGTAAGCCTTCATCTTAAGTGAGAATAACAGCACAATTGGAAGAGCGTAGTCAATGTCACTGAACTGTGCGTGTAGAAATTTTTGAAATGGTGTATCTTTGGCTATGTGTATTTTCACCAAAAGAAAAGGTTGAGAAGTTAGAGCGTTGTCATGTTGTGGGGTTGTTAACCAATGTCATAAAACAATATGTGTACTACTGTTTCATGAGAAACTATTTGTTCTGTAAGCCTTCACCTGAAGTACAATAAAAAAAAAAAAAATAAGTGCTAATAAATTACCTGGGTCTTTCACCTTTGAGGTTAACCACCCTTCGAGTTCTAGAGTTTAAATGATTTTGATTGACTACATCTCTTTATTCTCATTTACTCCTTGGCATCAGCTCTCTATGACATCTAGGTATGCTGTGTATGAAATTGCTGTAGCCCTGAGTGTTTATAAGGACAAGCTGTGTGCTCTTGAGGAAAAGGAAAGGCTTTGGCCTCAGATGACTTGAGTCTAATTCTCAGCTTCCTTCTTTATTAGTTACTTAACTCTAGTCACTCAACCTCTCAAAACTTCACTCATAATCTATTCACCTAGTATTTTGAAATTATTACAACATAACACAGTAGTATTACTTCACCTCAAATATACTTAGTATTTTACAGTAGTAGGGAAATACCAAACCAAACTTATTGCTGTTGAGTCAATTCTGACTCATGGTAACCCCATGTGTTACAGAGCAGAACTGCTTCATAGGGGTGCCTTGTTTGTAATCTTAATGGAAGCAAATTGCCAGGGCTTTCTTCTGCAGTACCACTGGGTGGCTTCAAACCACCAACCTTTAGGTTAGCAGTCAAGCGCAAACCATCTGTGCCACCTAGGGACCTCACAGGAGCTAATTATTTTACAACAGAGATCAGTGGCATGAGCATTAACATCAGTGAGCAGAGCATTAACAAAGCACCAACAGAGATGAGATTCTATATTGAAGGCCTTTCACAGCCCTGGCTTTGGCAAAGGAACTGTACCAAATGAAGTCAAGTGCAGTGATTACCAAATTCAAGGCTCAAACTAAAAAATTATAAAAGTTTTAATTATTCCGTTCTACTATCTTTTGGATATAACTATGCTATGAAATTTAGAAACTCTGTAGTTTATGAGATCTTTTAATATTCTAAAGTTTTACATATTAAAAGAATTAAGTTTTTTGACTTTTTATTCTAATACTCAGGATATTAATGTCAACCTCAGATGTGTTACAATTTTTTTATAGACGAGTATTGAAGTTAAAATGGGCTATAGCCCTAGTGAATGTTTTTTTTTTGTTGTTGTTTTGTTGTTTGTTTTTTACTATCTTCTGTTTTTTTTTCACTTTTTAATTTTTATTAATTTTATAATAGATACACAGAAAAGTACACATTTCACAGATGTATAGTTGGATGAATTTACACTAACTGAACTCCACTGGGTAGCCATCACCCAGATCAAGAAACAGAATACTTCCAGCACCAAGAAGTCTCTCCTGGTGCTTCCAGTCACTAAACCGCATCCCCACCCCCACCAAGGATAAACACTATCTTGACTTCTAACAGCACAGATTAGTTTTGCCTATTTTTGTGCTTATATTTATACACAAATGAAACCATACAGTATGCATTCTTTTGCGTCTGGCTTCTTTCATTTAACAGTATGTTTGGGAGATTTCATCCAAATTTTTGCATCAAGTTGTGCTTATTCTTGTAACTGTCTAGCATGATAGTGAATGAGTAAGCCACAATTTATTCCTTCTACTGTTGATGCGCATTTGGGTACTTTACAGGTTAGAGGCATTATGAATAGCAGCTCTAAACACAGTAAATTTATTTTAAATTCCAAATAGGGTGCATGCAAATATATAAAGAAATCATTTTCAACTCTGTGCTCAAACAATTGCACATCTGGATTTTTTGCACAAAAACATAGCAATCTAAAAAATTTGGTTAGAACAAGTCATCAAAAATTCTGCCAAACTATCCAATATGATTATAAAGAAAATTCTGAACGCTGATGCCAGCTAAAAATAAGAAAATATATTCAATCATTTTTCAGGGTGTTTGAGTAAATTTAGAAAAAATAACAGTGTGCCATCTAATTACACACGATAAAAATGTGAGCAAAGTCTAGAAAACAAGTCTACTGGGCTTCCTCAAAGAAGCATTTATTGTAATATTCCCAGAAGAAGCATTTATTTATTCATTCATTTAATAAGAATTTGAGTCAGGCATTGTGCTAGATGCTGAGAACAAAGGTATGGAGGAGTTAGAGCACTTACAAGGAAGGAAATTGAGAAGTGAACAGGAGTTGTTCAGGACTAAATTTGAGTACAGGGTGCTATTCAAGTTCTCAGAAGAACATAACAGGCTGTCCAGGGGATGTGACATGTGAATGGAGCCCTAAAGGACAAATAGAAATAATATTAAAGGAGAATTGGACTAATGTGTCAACCAAGGAAAATACCCTAAGCAAAAGCCCATGTGTTACACAGAGGAATATTAATGAACTTCAAAACACTAGGTGAAGAGGTTAGACACAAGAGAACATATGGTATGATTTCATTTGTATGAGATTTCTAGAACAGGAATCCATGGCAATAGAAATCAAAACTGTGTCTATGGGGGTGGGTGGGAAGGACATGAAATATCTCTTTAAGGTGGTGTAAATATCCTATATCTTGATAGTGGTATGGGTTACACAGGTGTATGCATTTCCTAAAGCTTAAACTGAACACTTAAGATATATGCATTTAAAAGAATGTAAACTCTATCTCGATCTAAAAAAAAATGGAAAATTAGAAATGCTTTAATTGTAACTTGTGGAAAACTGATCAAAAAATTAAACTGGCCTAGTAGAGTTTGCCCATTGCCGTCAAGTCAATTTAGACTCATACTGACAGTGGCACAGTGGTTAAAGTGATAGACTGCTAACCGAAATGTTGGTGGTTCGAAACCACCAGAAGCTCTGTGGGAGACAGATGTGGCAGTGTGCTTCCATAGAGATTTACAGCCTTGGAAACCCTATGGGGTCACTATGAGCCGGAATTGACTCAACGGCAGTGGGTTTTGTTTTTGTTTTTGTTTTTTTTTTTTTTTGCAGTACCATGTGCATTGGAAAATCTTTTTTTTCCCCAAAAAACTAATTAACATTGGCATAATTCTGATGAAAATGTTTGCTTTCATAAATACCCCATCAAAATAACCTTGCAGCTTAAAGACAGGATCAAAACATCTATGAGATCAAGAGTGGGATCCAATGAACCTTGAAAACATTGTACTGTGTTAAATATGTTAGTCACAAAAGGACAAATATCGTATGATCCCACTTACAGGAAATATCTAGAATATGCAAATATATAGAGACCAAAGCTCATTAGAGGTTACCAGGGGGTGGAGATGGGGGAGAGAATAGGGAGAGTCATTTCTGAGAGGGCACTGAGTTTTTGTTAAGGGTAATGGAAAAATTTGGAAATGGATAATGATGACGGTTGCATAAAATGAGGTTAATTAATGTCATTCAACTGAACATGTAAAAAATGTTGAAATGGCAAATATTTTGTTACATATATTTTTACCACAGTAAAATTTTTTTAATCTAAATAGAAAGAGCAAAATTCAAATTTTCAGTACACCTCTTTCTTAATGGCCTCCCTGCCCCTCCAAGCTAGCTACCCCAGTATATTTCAAAAGCAAGATTATAAAACAATTCTATCATGAACACCCTGGGAGGTAAACACCTGTAATTATTTCCTTAAGATACATTCCTAAACATGAAATTTCCTGGTCAAAGGATAGGCACTTTCAAAGAGATTAAACTATTTTGTCACGATTTTCTTGTGATAATCTAAATAAATTTATACTTCCCTAAGCACAACAGATGGCTGCTACTTTGTTCGAATCATAGTGTTTGATTTTTATCACATAAAAAAATGTATCTTCTTTTCATTTTTATTTCTCTGATTGCTGATACAGATGAGCATCGCATTAATATTATTTTTATTGCATATGATAAAGCTTATTATGTAACGGCTCACTGTATGCCAAGAATTATTTCATTTTGTCATTAACAAAAAAAATTTAAGGACAACCTGCAAGCCAGATACGGGTATTATCTCCAGCTTATAAATGAGACAGGTAGAGAGGATCAGATAACTTACCCAAGGTGTCGCATTGCCAGCTGGGACAGAGCTAGGCTCTCAACCCACATTTGTCTGATTTAAGAGCCCACACTCCTTATTATACTACAATGACTAGCAAAATAGTAAAACAAAGAAACAAGCAAACAGAAATACTAGCTTGAATGTACAGCAAGAAGGCTTCATTTAATGGAATGTCTCCAGCCACTAAAATTGGTACTGGTAAATATTAATAGTGAGCAGAATTATCATTGTGTGTTATACTGTATGTATAAATACAGAGCCATGCGTGACTCTAAGCAGGGAGTGGGGTCAGGAGGCTTGAGGGGAGGAATGACTCCAGTTGAGTAAATGGAATAATGGAAGACACAATAGGAGATAGTTGGTGTGCCGTTTACCACCTCCCTCCCCCGCTCCATTTCTTCACCAATTTCCTTTCTGGTCTTATCTTGCATCATCAAGGACACCTACCGAATTGTCAACACCAAATCCTCCTAAAGCCAGGTATTCCTTTCCCTCTCTTCTACCTCCCCGTCATTCTCCTACTGCTTGGGCCAGAAGAATAAAGTAGCTCAAGGCCAGAGGGGCAACTGGAAGAAAGAGAAGATCCAAACGCCTCTGAGGTGATGTGGGGGCACCTTTCCAGGTATGGGCAAAGTCCAGAGAGCAACCATTATAAACATGTGGAGGAGGAGCATGTGGCCGGGCATGTTACCTCCCATGCTCAACACCTAGGCCCATCTGACAAAGTCCTACTCATTCATCCTTCAAAGTCTACCTTTCATTCTGAGAACTTGCAGGGACAAATTTCTTTTCCCCTCAGAAAGAATAAATTCAAGGCACTCGGATGTTAATAGAAAACAGTTGCGGCAGGATTAAGTTCTATCTAAACTCCAGTCCTGAACATAGGACCTTAGAAATGTTAGTATTTAATGCTTCAATCAATTTTTTAAGTCATTATTGTATGGCATGAATATAATAAATTAATATAAAAGTACTTTGCAAACAATTAAACAAATAAAGCCTGACTTAGAAGCCACAAGGAGCCTAACCCTCTGATGACTTTTCTGTTTTGAAATGTAAATAGATTTGAGAAAATTCCATCCTGCCTTTCAACCACATTCCCATGTGCCAACTGTTAGAGGAGGGTAAAAATCCCCATGTCGGTCTCACCCTTCTGGACACTGAGACTGGTCGGCTGCACTACATTCTTCTTTCATCCATTGTGTTTCTCCTGAAATGCATAAGATCAAAATCTTTAGACTGCTACACCACAGATAAGAAAAGAGAAGCAAGTGTTCAATGCATGTGATCTCCTCAAACCACTTAGTTCATGTGACTCCAGCAACAAAATGCTTTCAGAACACATTAAGTGCTATTGCACATGAACATTACATTACAGATAACATGGTATTAACTCCAGGAGTGACTTCAAAATAATACAAAATTGGAGGGAAAAAGAGGTTGGGAGAATGAAGGATACATGTTGTTTAAAGAAGAAAACTCAAAAACTTGGAAATAGAAAAAAGGATGACAAAACACTGAACTTCATTTTAATGTCATGCTGGGAATTGTCTAAAAGGCCCACCTATAGCTTATCTAATTACTTAGGTAATTGGACATTATAACTATAAAGTGTTGAATCTTTAGAGTGAGAAAACTTTTACATTTATTTAAAAAATGAACGGAAATGGTTAAATTAACTCCATCAAAATAACCAATTAGTGTTAATGGTAAACCCCAACACTGTTTTTTAACAGCTACTTTTCTTTCTGTTAAATTCAAGCAATATTGTGCAATGCATTCAATGGGAATACTCACATGAACTAAGGATCAGTCTTGAGATAAAAAGTTAAGTGATAAAATTGTGGTGGGAGGCAAAGACAGGTAAGGGGCAGTATGATCAATGAACTCAGAGAAAGAAGCAAATTGGAAACTACCCTTGCCTTTGTGGATTCAGAGAAATTTTTTAATGATACAACATTCACTATTAAATATTGAACAGTTATTAAGAAAAGGAAGAAGTTATAATTTTAGGTCTTTACATATTTCCCTTTTTGGCATCCATTTTCAGGGGATTTTCAGTTACGGTTTGTATAAAAACGGACTTGTCTATTAGTGCAAAACATTTTCTACTAACAGATTATAGCTTATAATGTTTCTACTATAACATTTTCCTCCTATTTCAAAACTCAAAATTCAACTTACTCTCTTTTGTCTAAAAATTTTAAAAAAAGTGTAAGCGCAATTGGGTGTGGTGTTATGAAAAAGGGAGTGATAGCTCCAAGCAGTTTTGTTGCTATGTGTATATGTGCATTTTCCATAAAGTTCATCAGATATCCTGGAGGATCGGTGACTTTAACATTTCCACAGCACTTACAAAGTGGCCCAAGCAAGGGGAATCAGGATTTTAATCGTGGCTCTACATTAACACTCTGAAGATCCTTCATCGGTCATTTAAAGATTCAGGACACAGTTGTTTCAACAGTAACAACACTGGTATAATGGACTAATATTTGGGCCAGATAACCTCTTTCATAGTGTTTTAACTTTAAGGTTTGCCACCCAGTGTCTCAAACCACAAGTATGTCTCTGCCATGGTCACTGGATTGAAAAAGATCTTGTCTTACCTACAAATAGGGGGTTTTAAACTCTATCTTTTTCTCTATGATATTTATGTTACAAGCTCCCTTCCTCTGTAGTATACTCCCTTCTTCTATAGTACACAAGCCACATTTCTTTCCACAGAAAACAAATTTCATCTTTTCTTCTGTACGAAGTAGCTTAAGATCCTCTCTTTTAATTTCTGCAGCCTAGGCCAGCTCTAGGATCACTGAACTCACAGTGACAAATGGGTTGTCAACATCCATCTGCTTACCTTGGCAAACACTCTGATAATCAATACAGCAGTCTTTCCTCTGCAAACAGTCATCCGAGCAAGAGCAAAGGCTAGATTCTAGTCTAGTCTCCCCACAACGAAATTTATTGCAGGTCCATATTTTAGCTGTAAAATTGCACAATTCAGTTCTGAGTATTTAATTAAGTTTAAGTATTCAATACAGAAAATAGAAATTTTCATGCATTTTCCCCCATATTATTGTCAAACTGTCAAATGCTTGGTTTGTCTGCATTAATGAATGAAACTACATAATGCAAAATGAGGAGCAATTCACCATTTTTCTTCATTTAGCATGAATGGCAGAGAGAAATGCAGCTTTGTTAACTGCAGCTCTGGTCTACTAGGAAGTATACCTCTGAGTTTGGAGAAACTCTGAATACCGGTCCTATTCCCACCCAAGGGCAAGAGCTCCCAGTGGTGAAGAATCACTAGCCCTGCCTGATTATTGACACCCAGGGGCAGCTTTACCCACCCTGATCTAAGGATAGGTAGCAAGGAAGAGACAGTGACAACAGAAGTAACAGGTGCACCATCAGGTCTGAAAGAATGTAGGCAGGCCAGGTGCCTCCCAGATGACAGTGACAGAAGTGGCAGATCAGCTCTCAACCATGCCTTCAGTCTTCTCCCAGGCTATACTTGGTAGGAGATTAGTTTAAATAAATCTCACTCCTTAAAAAAAATGCAAGAGGCTGCTTCCTACTGCCACCTGGTAGGAGTCAGTGACTAAAATCAACAGCAGCCCTGTGCCTAGACAATATGTTAAATAGGCCACTGCTGTGTGCTGCAATTGCGTGTACAGTTCTGTATCACACATTGTTTTTTATCCACTAAGGAAGAAACGATTTTAGAGACTAAATAAAGGGAATGCAAATCTTTATCTATACTAGGTGTCTCAGTTTTCTCGTGCTCCTGTAACAGAAATACCACAAGTGGATGGCTTCAACAAACAGAAGTGTATTCTCTTCCAGTCTTGCAGGCTAGCAGTCCAAATTCAGGACATCAGGTTCAGGGGAAGGCTTTCTCTCTCTGTCAGCTCTGGAGGAAGGTCCTTGTCATCAGTCTTCCCCTAGACTGAGTTCTTGGTGCAGGGACCTTGGGTCCAAAGGATGCACGCTCCTGGCTATACTTTCTTGGTGGTATGAGGTCCCCATGTCTCTCTGCTGATGTCTGTCTTTTATATCTCAAAAGAGATTTGCTCAAGACACAATCTAATCTGGTAGATTGAGTCCTGCCTCATCAACACAGCTGCTGATCATTAACATCATAGAGATAGGATTTACAACACATAGGAAAATCACATCAGATGACAAAATGGTGGACAATCACACAATACTGGAAATCATGGACTAGCCAAGCTGACAGATATTCTGGGGGTACACAATTCAATCCAAGACACTAGGTTGTCACTTACCACTGTCCTTTTCAAAAAGCATAATGTCAGGAGCTCTACTTTTCTAATCTTCATTCTGCTCCAACCACTAGACCCCTCTTCCCTGATTTCCTAGAGAATTAAATATTGCAAACTATCTCTTCCACCTAGAGAACAGTGTTCCTCAAATTGTGGCCTGTAGAACACTGGCATCAGAATCACTGAGAATAACCAGCTTTACAAGTCAGTCTTAAGCACCCTGAAGTTTAAGAACCACTGGAAATGAAACTAAAAAAGATATTTAACTTTAAGCCATAATAAAACTCCATTGAAATGTATGTAATCACACATTCCATGTGCTGTAGACAGTTATCCTTCAACCTCAACTAAATAAAGTGAGAACTCTGTGTTTATCACTGTAAAGAGGGAAATGATAATAGATTGTGTCTGCAAGGCGTCTGGGTGAACATTTGGATATGCATTGTGATAGCACAACCAATACGCTAATGAACTTCTTCTCAGAATTCATACTTGATTCCACACAGGTGTCTTCAAAATCCCAGCAGCAGTTGCCTCGGTCTTTACATCCCATGTCACATCGGCAGCCTTCCAGTCCTCTGAATGATGAGTCAAAGCATTTCCTCCTGCAGCTGCCTGTAGAGTGAAGGAAATAAGGACACCAAAGCTTAGAAGTTATCCAATATCTCATACTTACATGGTAAAAGCACACAGAGAAACTTAGCACAGACTAGGACAGACAAATAGATGGTTTTTATGGTGCTGTGTGATCTGTCAGTGCAATGTGATAAATAACAAGATACTGATATGTACAAGGGTACATGGGAGCACATGGGGGTTGGGTGGGACCTAAAGCAGCAAGAAGGTGTGGAGGACACCCTTGAGTCGTGAGAGAGGCATCAGGGTTTTTAAAATCAGTAAAACTAAGGAAGGCAAATTTGGAGAAGAGCAGATATGTCATGGTGGCTAAGGGGTAGATTAGTAGCAGAAAGGTGCCTATGCCACACTGTCATGGTTTGAATTATGTCCCCCAAAAAATGTGTGTATCAATTTGGCTAGGCCATGATTCCTGGTACTGTGTGATTTTCCTGTATGTTGTAAATCCTGCCTCCATGATGTTAATGAGGGAGGATGGGTGGCAGTTGTGTTAGTAAGGCAGGACCTGATCTACAAGACTGGATTGTGTCCTGAGGCAATCTCTTGAGATATAAAAGACAGACGTGAGCAGAGAGACAGGGGGACCTCATACCATCAAGAAAGCAGTGCCAGGAGCAGAGCGCGTCCTTTGGACCGGAGTCCCTGTGCCGAGAAGCTCCTAGTCCAGGGGAACACTGATAAGAAGGCAGAGAGAGGGAAAAAGCCTTCCCCTGGAGCTGATGACTTTTAGCCTACTTTGACTATGAGGAAATAAACTTCTCTTCATTAAAACCATCCACTTGTGGTGTTTGTGTTATAGCAGCACTGGATGACTAAGACACACACTAAGAAGTGTTAAGCCTAATCTTTGTTAATGAGAAGCCATTAACGAGTAAGCAGATGATAAGCAATTGGATTTGTGTTTCTAAAGTCCTCTCTGGAAAATAGGTGGTGGGGTGCAAGGGAGATGGAAACTCTTGGATCAAGTAGGAGATTTTAACCAAAACCACAAATGATAAGGGCCATAAAGAAAGGTAGTAGAAGTAGACAAAAGGAAGATACAGAGCTAAGAGAAATTAAAGGGCAATTAATAGGGCGATGATTTTACATGAAGAGTAAAGTAAAGGAATGAGTCCAGAATGACTTTCAAGGTGTATGTAGGGCAGGGGCCTGAAAGTTCAGTTTTATTGGCTATCCAAACAAAGATATATATATTATAAACAAGGGCATCTGAATATTGAGTCTGAAGCTCAGGATAAAGAGAAATAAACTAATGATACCAATTTTGGAGTCATCTGCATATTAGTGGTAACAAGCAATGGGAATACCATAGATCTGATGGTTCCAGGAGTGTGCACCCAGCTATATGTGATTTCTCCTTACTATGTATTCCCATTGAATGTTGTCTGTAATTCCCTTATGATACTTTCTTTCTGCTTCATATTCCAAACGAGTTCCTTGAAGGTAGGGAGGATATAATGGGAAAATTCAACTACGCATACCCTGTCTCCATCCCCTTGAAAATCATCACTTGGTTATAAACTATTTTATTCCACGAATATCTATTTTAGAATCATTATGTCCTAGGCATTGGGGATAAGATAATGAAGATATGGTTATGAAGCATTTTATATTAATATATTAATAATATGATAAATGTAATAGTAAGTATAAAGCAGTAGTGAATACTACACATGGTATTGGGACAATTGACTAGCTATACAGGGAGACGAGGAGTCTCTTTATATTCTTGCTTCACAACATATACACAAAGTTTAGAGGCTTAAGTTTTAGGGGCTTAGCAGAATATAAATGCCCCAGGAGTCAAGTGGATAAGGAAAGTACTTTAGGGGTTGCCATGAGTTGGAATCAACTTGAGGGTGACTAACAAAAATAATATTGAAAAGGCACATAAAAGGTTATAGAAGATGAAGTCTAATATAAAACGCACAGACAGCAGTAGTTCTCAAAATGACAGATCTTCCTAACTCATCCTACTCTAATTTGACCCCAAAGGGCATACAACAGAAGACTCAAATGATTTTCAAAAGTACTACCACAAAAGGTTAATAAACAGAGTTCTGGCAAAATGGCGCTCTAGGCAGAAGCACTACGCCATCCCTCCACAGCAAAGATCTGAAAAACTAAG